ATCCCTCTAACAACAGCCAGAAAATCCCAAGCATGTGCAGATAGCAATTTCAGGTACAAAAAGCCATTTCCCTTTGGTCTACAAACATCAATGTTTCTAATGCCTGCCCTATCATCTGATGATGCTCCATTTGGTATGTGAAAATCCAAATTCTTGCGCATGTCCCACAAGGGCTTTCCCAACCTAGCCCCAAGACATTATGGCATCATCTCCTGCCACCGCCCTCACATCAGTGTTCCATCTTGTTGTACCCTTCATTTCTCTGGGCCTTAACATGCCAGCTTTCACTGCCTACAAAGTTCTTCTCCAATTCTCCTGCAGACAAGCCCCCAGTGATTCTTTAAGACTGGTTTAACTGGAAACCATCAGCAACACTTTCCCTAATTCTTCAAGCCAGAGATGGGCACTGCCTAATCGGTGACCCCAAAGAAACTTGCACATACATATTTTTTTTAAATAGCACTCATCACAGCATATTTACATAGGCCCTTCCCAAAGATTGTGTGGCTCCTAAGACAGTAAGGATAACCGAAGTGAAATAGGAGGTGGGTATCAAAATCAGAGGTGACCCGGGAATGGTACATCCAGAAGCACATTAAATTTTAAATTTGGTAAAGGACCAAAAGTATGTATTCTTTTCAGTTTATAACACCAAGTTTAAAAAGTGAGGTCATCAAAATCTTGAATGAACAGGATTCTCATAGGGGAAGCTGGGGGTGAGACCATCTTTTTTGCTCATTTTTGGGTAAATAAAGGCCAAAGACCAAATATTACACATTGCTCATTCCTGGTATATACTAGGTACTAAGATACCTACAAATTGAATAACAATTTAAATGTTAAACTAAAAAAAAATCTTAGATATTGTCTTGATGAAACAAGTTATTTCTTCCCAAAATGTGTAATAGGTTCTGAACAGTTTTATATGGGTATAATGACAGTGACTCAAACTTTCTCAAGACTTAAATGAGATTCCTATACATAAAGGAGAAAATTGTAGAACATAATTATTTTCAAAGTTCCCTTATAAAGAGTAAAGAAATTTAATTCTTGTGTGCCATATCTCCCATAATCTACCCCCACAAACAACACAGTTATGGCTTTGAACCCTTAGGCTCTTTCTATTCCTCCAAAACCAGAAGTTGGCTATAAATAACATATTCATTACAGTTTTAGCCTTAACGGAACATGTGTCATTTGGACAAATCAGAAGTCGTGAAAAAATGATGGTTCCAGGTCACTTTATGCTATCTGAAAGATTTCAGAGGTAAATACTTACACCACACATCAGACTCAGCTGGTGCTACCTGAAAATGCTACTGCTCTCTCTCACACTCCTGGGTTTATAATGAAGAAGGACTTACCCATAACTACTGTTCTCCTAGGTGTGCTTTCAATCCAGTATTGATGACGATCCGGCAAACAGGTAAATAATATCATGGCAAATCTCAAGGAAAAGTAAAACACTTTAACAGAAAGAACTAGTCAACTGTGGGAAGAAATAATGCATTTGACTTTACATACCATGGTATTTGTGTGAATGAGACTTGTTTATCCTCTAGCACAACTACATTTCTGTCAAAGTCAGCTGGTGATAGAATTTAAACCAACTTTTAAAAAATGTTTAAACACAGGGCTTATTGATCAGGAAGTCTTTCCTTCATAAAACAAGTATTACTAAGTGCCTACTAGGCATAGCCATCCCTCACTATACTTTGGGTATATTTGTGATCAAAACAGATCCCAGGCTTCATGGAGCTTACATTCTATGGGAAGGAACAGACCATGTGTCTTACAATGAACCCCCAATAACTTATACTGTATAAAGGATGTCTAAGAACCTTTCATTGTGAAATGAAGTTTAAGTTTTCTAATACTGATGGCCTAGTCCTTTATGGACACAATGCCTGTCACTCAACAATTAGATGTCCCTGGTGAAATTCAAAGATACACCTCTTACAACTAACAGAAATAAGTTTAGGAATATGAACCACATCACTCTACAAATAACTGTATTTCACATTTTCTCTTGAACTGGTGTCCCACAAGGCCTGTCCTCTCTCTCAGAGAACAGTGTCTTGTTCTTCCATTCAAATGGAATACATCTCCCTGCCTCTGAAAGCCATGCACACAATATCTTGGCCAAGCACCGCACTAAGTGCTGGAGATACAAAGTTGTGTAAGACACAATCTTTACCCTTAAAAAGTTAACTTCAGAGTAATAGGAGGAAGAGGTAAAAGGAAGCTCAAGGTTTATGAGTGTGTAACTGAAGTATGCAGAGCATGCTGGGTGCACCCAGAGGAGAGGATGATTACCTCTGCCTGGAGAACGCTGCTCTGGGTGGATGGATAAATGTGTGAAGGCAGAAAGGTCCAGCAACTTATATGGGCCAGGAAGGATAGAAGCCTGGGAGAGCAGTCAGAGAGGAAGTGATCCCAAGAAGCTAAATCCTCGAACAGGGGAGGCTATGTCTGCACAGACACCATCACTGGAAGTTACGCCTCTCATGGGAAGAAATGGAAAGCAAAAGTACAGATGGCTTATGAGCAGACAAGTTAGAGTACTGGGCACACTGAGAACAGTGACTGGACCTCAAGGCAACAGTTAAGTAATGGGAAAGCATCTGAAAAAAAAAAGCAAAGAGACCAAGCATCTCCAAAAGGCAAGGAGACCAAGAGTGCTAATAGAACCCAGACCCAAATCGCACCTGCGTTCTGCTGGGTGAACATGCTGCCAACTAGTCACCCAAGGTTAAGAGCAGACCCTTCCATTCATATGCCAGTCTCAGTTCAGCAATGTTCCCAAACCAAGCCACAGGGGAAGTACCACTGTGTGTGCCTTCCACATGCGCACAAGCTGGATGAGATAAAGGGAGTTCCCTCCCCCGCTCCATGTTGAATACCCATGAAATGCCATGTCCCAGAATTCATCTGGACTCTATTTTTAACCACAGTCACTATCCTCTGGAACTAGAATATCAATAGTAAGGAGACACTATGCCATGGAATTGTCCTATGCATTATATATAGCATTCTGCAGCATGATCATCCATCTCCCCAGTTAGTCTTAGGAGCTCTTCAAGGGCAGGGACTAGCTAATAGTAGGCACTCAATTAAGGGCTGACAAACAAATGAATGAATTAACCCACCCATTTTTCCCATAGTTCCAAGCTAGTATAACGGATAGAAAACATACCAATTGCTGCTATTTTTCATTCTAAATGATGGCAGCACGAAGCCTAATCAACCAGCTTTTTGTAAGCATGACATCCATGACCCTACATATAGACACACAAAGTCAAATACTAGAATCAGAGGAGACCAATTTTTAAATTTAACTTTTTAAATAAACAGTTTTCCAGTCTCAGAAATTTGCTGAGTGAATGAGAGTGTGTTGGTTCAGAGTCCGACCCCACCCCCCAAAATATGTACATCCCAGCTTTGAAAGGAAAAAACACTATAAACCAAAATATTCTGAAACAAACCAACAAATGAACAAAAACCTTTCTGCAAAACTTCAAGAACTTGTCTTAAACCCTCATCTCCTCTAAATGACTATATAAATATGCAGTGCCCTGGCCAAGGCTGAAACAGAACATTAGGCAAAAACGGAAGAGAAAATTTTGGTTAAAAAGAGAAAAAAAGAAATCCAACACTGTTGAACCAGAAAGTAAATACTCATTTACATCAGACTCTGCTACTCCGGGCGGGTAAGGCTTGGGCCGGGCTACTGAGGCAAGCCTGAGACCAGCTGCACGCATTTAATCTCACAGAGCATCCGGATTGTACCTCCTCCCTGTGGTCTCTCCAGCAGTTGCCCTCTAGAGTCCGAATTACAGATGTTAAGCTTGGTGAAGAAGAGAGCTGACTTTGCTGATTAATAATAACAATAATATTTGTGTAGAGAAATGCAAACGTAGTAGTCCAGACTGACAGTTACTGAGCGAAGGCACTTCAAAAGTCAGCCCCTCTCTCTCCTACGGTATGAGAGAGAGAGAGAGAGAGAGAGAGAGAGAGAGAGAGTGTGAGTGTGTGTGTGTGTGTGTGTGTGTGTGTTTGGGGGGCTGGGGTGGGAGGTCTTGCCTTGGTGAGGAGAAGAAGAAAGTGCAAAAACTAATGTACCAGAGAACCACTCTTTCTGGAATTCATAGAGTCTGGCCTTTTATCCCTGGGCGCAAGCCCAAGCCTAGGGACCCGGGTTTTGTCAGGGGCGCCTCCCCGCTGTCCTGCCCTGGGTTGCTCCACATGAGCAGAGAGAGACAGGAGGCAGGCCCCTCTGACACCTACTTAACCGAGGCAGATGGAGAGGAGAGTGTGTGGGATGCCTTTACTTCCCCCTGAGGAGGCACCCAGCAGGATCCCACAGAGCCAGCAGCTCCAAAATCGGATTTCCACACATCCCCCCACCCCAGAACACACCTTGCCCCTCTGGCAGGAGGAAATGGAACATTAAGCAAGTGCGGCTCTGGTGTCTGAAGGGGCTTTAGAAGACCTAAAGAACCCTTCTTCCAGGATTCTGTACTTTTTCCAAACCTCTAGAGAAGTAGCCAAGTTGGGAAACAGTTCCTCCCTCACTGACCCAAAGAGGGCAAGGGTGTTACTTTGAGGAGGACACAATCAGTGTCTGCAAGACGTCCTGAGCTCAGACACATACTTTATTAATAATCTTACATACACAAAATGTCCAAGGGAAAGCCTAACAGGCTAGTTTCTGACAGCTCCAGATAACAGCAGGAGGAACTGAAGCCATGCTGACTCCACAGAAGCAACGATCCCTTTCCCACCCAAGGGATGTGATGCAAATAAATAAAGACAATTATCTGCAGAACTTAAAGTGCAAGAACAACACTGTGAAGTCCTTCTCCCCAAGTGCAGTGACTTGTGGGAAACAGATAGGAAAAATAAAAAGAACAGCTGGAAAATTTAATTGCAGGGGAACAACGCAAAGGCTGACACTGTTTCACAGAACTAGCCAATAGCCAATAGCCACTGTCCCTTACCTTAAGATACAGAAGCAGCTCTTCGCTCCTGAAGATAAGCGACAGAACCCGAATCTCTGTTTGCTGTCAATGTCAGTGAGCACGAATGTGAAGTTCTGGCCAACTTGGCTAACTGTGAGGCTGCAGCAAAGACAGAACAAAGGGGAAAAAATGAATGTGCACTAAGTTTCTTGATAAAGTATCTAATCATGACAAGTCATTGAACCTGTAATACTTCCTTTCTCAGCGGAACTCTTTATAAATGAACTCAAAATTTACACACTTCAAGGGAACGGACTGCAAGCTAGTAAAACAAACAAAAAACCCCACCAAGCAGCCCATTCTAGTGACCACCTCACTACCAAAGTAGCTACCAAATCTTCCACTTACTGAGTTCAGGCAGGTAGCCCTGTTAATCATCTTATCAAATCCTGAAGGGTGCATCCTATTTAACCTCATTTTATAGATAGTGACCACCTCATCACCACACTGGAGCTACCATGCCTTCCATTTATGGAGTTCAGGTAGGTATAGCCCTGTTAATCATCCCACCAAATACTGAAAGGAGCATTCTATTAACCTCATTTTATAGATGAGGAAATAGCCTAGAAGCAGCACTGCCTAAAGTGCCAGCCGGTGAGCTGCAAAGAGCTGTGTTTTAAACCCAGGTCTTTATGATGCCAAAGCCTACTCTGTCAGCTTGCTGTTAATGACGCTCCCCTGACCATTCTCCTGGCTGGCAAAACCAGCAATGGCAACAGAATCTAAGTGTCCACTGTGTGCCAGGCATCAAGTTAGACACTTGATAAATAGTATCTCACTTACTCATATCAACCCTGGAATTTAGACGTTGTTCCCATTTTACAGAAAAGGAAACGGAAGGACTGAACAGGTAGGTAACTGAATCATGTTCACAGAGCTTCTAGGGAGAGTTGCTGAATTCAAGAGAGCAAGGTTAGCTGCTACTTTCCTACATGCCTGTATCTTTCAGAATTTTTGAGTTTATGAGGGACATATATTTTACAGGACAGAAATACAATGCAAGGTGCTAAGAAATGAAAACAGGCTTTAAAGAAAGAATAAAGAAAAAAAGCTAAAAATTCCCACAACGCAAAATTCAGTACACCACACATAAAAGTGACAGAAAATAGGAAATACGTTTCAAACGATTAAAAAGGATATTGCTAATCAGATTAATCTAGAAACTCTTTTTTGCAGTTGCAAAATGTTTTAAAGACCACTTTCTAAAATCAGTTTACAAAAAAAAAAAAACAACAAAAAACACTTCACCACTTAGCTTGGATTCCTTTTTAAAAACTTAAATATTTCAAATCCTAATACATAAATTTATGCTAACATAATAATTCTGGAATTTGACACTGAATTATTCAAAGGAACTCATTAACCTATATTGTATTTTACATACATTGTATTTTACAAAATATACTCAAATTGACAAAATATTCAAATCAGTGCTCTCACCTAACATTTACTTTATGTTGCCAGCAGAAATGAAAATCATTCACCAGGTCTTTTCCAAAGGCAGACTTATTGAGTCTTTGGGTAGGATATGAATTAGTTTTTCAAATATGGATAGCCTTCCTTTCTAAAACTCCTTTATACAAACCACATAAGCAAATGAAAAGGAGACTTTCAAGGTATCCCAGCACAAAAAAGGTCAATGGACCCTACCTGGTCATGTTTAAGGAAACAATTCCATCCCCTAGAGAGTGGTTAGAGAGTACAAGAAAATAATTCCGAAAGAAAAGAAAGTGTTCCACTCTCCTTTTTTAACTAGGAAGGTGAGCGAAAACAAGGTGGCAATTTAAAAGCAGTGTGGTAATAAAACAGGTGTAAGTAATGCTATCCCTCCACCTTACACAAGCCAGAAGAAGGAACACATTTCTATAAAAGTTATAGAGCTGACCAGGGGACACCAAACTCTACCTTCTTACGGCTGTTATGTTTTATCAATAAAGCTTGGATACTGTGTTACTATGGTGATTTAATACTATGTTTTAAAGGGGGATTATATGATTAATTTTAACAAGGTTGAGAACTGAAGATGTGTGAGAAACAGGATTCTAGCTCACATAATTAAAGTGATTGGGGAGAAAAGTGGGCTTCACTGTGGGAGGAGAAAAACTTGAATTATTAAAATATTAAAAGCAACAGGTCACGATGATGCTAAGTTACAAATAGGTCATGCTTTTATGAAATACTATTATGTGATCATACAAAATATGACTGTTCATTATTTCAACTCAGAGTGTGATTTCCCTTCTAGAATTTTTAAAAATGAAACATCCTAGAAGGAAAGGGTATTGCTAGGACTGAATGAAAAGAAAACACCCAGGATCTCTAGGAAAAGGACACAGAATGAACACAACTCATTTGTGGATTGAGTGTCATTAATTTCCCCATTATCTTTTCACTACCATTAAAAATGCTGAAAATGCTTTTAGGGACATCCTAGGCTCAAAGAAAGATTCATTACTCATTTACTTGGTTCATATCCCAACTCAATCACTTGCTAACTGGGCCTTCATTTAGCAAGTTACTTAACCTCTGAGCACCTCAGTCTCTTTACCTGGAATAACAATGAGAAACTACCACCCAACCCAAAGGAGGTTTTAGGAGTGAGATAAGCATTTACTATAAAGGTCAGTCCATAATAAAAAACGATTAATAAAAGAGAGGCAAGCTGTTACCATCTAAAGGAAAACAAAAATTCATATTAAAATCAAGCATTTGCTCAGAATCTTCCCGACTGACTCATTTTTGTAATCTTTATGAGTAGAGAAAGGAAGTTTGCCTTTCTCTCTTCTCTGTTGCATATTTTCCGTAAAGGACAGTCCTCCGGGTGACCAAGTAAGCCGCTCCTACTCTCAGTAAAGTGAGTAAGATTCTTTGTGGGGTGGGGGGGAATCACAGCTTGGGAGAGAGCACTTGTTATTCTCAGCTGATTCACCTTTTTAATTCCTAATAGGGTGAAGTACAAGCCATTTAAACAAACAAACAAACAAACAAACAAAGGAGGCCCCAAACCACCAAACTCTGAAATCTTTTCTCCTTGGACAATTTCCAATCAACTCCAAGTCAGGCAAGGGCAGTCAGAGGTTAACATGAAGGCATCTGAACCTCCAAGGAATCTGTCATTCCCTCTCTGCTTGCTGCTGTGCGCTAGGACAGTGTTCACGCTTTCTCCATAAAAATGACTTTGGGGAAAGGGTCTGCTTCGTTAAAGGCTACAGGCTTAACGTTTACCTCCAGTATTAGAATCCGTAACTTTTTAACAGGAATCCGAGATTTCACGATGATTAAAACTGAGAGGAACTGCAGAAAACATCTCGCTTTAAGATGGGAAAACTGAGGCACAGGGATGTTTTTGGTTTTGTTTTTTTCAAAGTATCAGGACTAACACAAAATTCCAAGCCCAATTCTGGTTCAAAGTCCTCTCCATTCTACCAGGCTACACTGAGGAAACCCTTCCCTCACCTGCAGCTTGCAACTCTGTTAAAGGAACTCAAGTATGTGAGGAATCCAGATAACTGTCTTAACAAACACACCACTTCCCACTGAGCAAGAGAAACCAAATTTGCCCAAGAGACCAGGGCCGAGCCCACCCTTAGCTGTGCTTCCAAGGCCTAGATGAATATGGAAAACAAGGGAGAAAAGCAACAAATATTCAAACCAGACTTTAACATTCATGCTGACTTGTAAATGCCTGTGAGCCATTTAAGGCTCCTCCGGCAGCATTTTGCTTAATCTCAAAGTTACTTACAGATTGAGTGTATAAATTGCATGAAGCATGTCAACGGACAGTGTGATTCCAATCTTCCAGGGAGAGATGGGATTTTCCATATTATCCTTTTAGTTGAGTTGTCCACCTTGTAAACTGAGCAACTACTATACTGGGCACCATAACAAGTATTGGCCAGCCATCCTGCTATGGAGATTTCCCGCTCGTGGGAGAGGAATAATAAACAAGTGTACCACACAGCATACAGCTGCATGTACCAGTGTTTTATGAAACCAAAGCAAGAACAAAGATAGAAGCAAATGGAAGAGAAGGCAAGGCCCTACTCAGATAACAAAGTTAGAGACAGCTTTTCAAAGGTGACAATGATCCTAACCCTGAAGGATGAGGTGGAGCAACCCCTTCAGAAGCAGGGCCTGCGTGTTTCAGGCAGAGGAAAGGGCTAGGGAAAGAGTCTCAGGCTGGAAAGAGCTAGGCATGTTCAAGGAACTCAGTGGATACCAGTGCAGTTAACATACAGGAGCTAAAGGGAAAGTGGCATGATATGAAGTTGCTAGATAAAGCACAGAAAGCCTCACAGGTCATGGCAAAGATTTAGGATTTTTTTTGTAAAGGTGATGGAAAGCCACTGAATGGTTTTCATCAAAACAGTCTAGTGTACAATGGCAAATGTTATATGGAGAACAGTTTGGAAGAAGTAGAAGCAAAGAAAGTAATCAGGAAGCTAGTGCAGGAGTCCAGGTGAGACTGGATGGAGGCCTAACTCATGTAGGGAGAATGAAAATGGATCTGCGTGGACAGTTCCAAGTTATAGCTAGCTGGTGTAAATGACAGGCTTGCAGATGTACTGAGAGTAAAAAGACAGCAAATTACCATTTTATGATAGAAAAGACAAGTTTGGGGGGAGATCTAAGAGTTCCATTCAGGATATGTTAAGTCTGAGAAACCTTAAAATAGAAATGTCAAGTACATGTTGAACATACTACTTAGGAAATCAGAGGAAAAAGTTTGGGCTGGAGCTATAAATTTAAGTCATCTACACACAGACGTATTTAATGCCACGGTAAAGAACAAGATCACTTACAGAGAGCGTTCAGAGAAACAGAAGAGGATCCAGGACGAGGTTACAGAAGCACCAGTTTAGAGAATGCAGGGAGAAAAGACCATCAAAGGAAAAATGGAGAACAAGCAGGAGGGATGGGTCAACTGTACCCATGAATCACGATGAGAGCGAAAAACTGTTTAGTGAACTGAGCAATATCGAGGTTGCAGATGACCTTGATTAAGAAAAGCTCTAGCTGAATGACAGAAGCAGAAGACAGCCTGGAGAGGGCTGTGGGATAAACTGAAGTGTGCAGCTAACTCCTCCAAAAAGACACAA